GGAGGTGGCCCCTTGTGGGGAGTGGAGTCAGCCGAGGCCCTTGGCTCCAGCCCAGGCTCCTCCTCCGCGGGAACCTCTCCCCGACCACACTAGCGGGGGTCCGGGAGGATGGCACCCTCAGGGGAGTTCCGAGTCCGCCTGGCTCGGAAGTTGCAGAGTGAGGTGCCCTGGACCCGAGGAGGAGCTGGAGGGGCGCTGCCTGCTCTGGGAACACGGGAGTGGCTCTGAGGGTTTTGGGTGGTCAGCACCAAGGCGGGCAGCGTAAGCCTTTCAGTGCCAGGGAGTGGTGGGGAAGGGGTTAAAATCTGCCTCAGATAAAGGGGAAGATGGGCTCTCTGGGTGTGTGAGCTGAGCTGAGTAATGGCTGCGGCCTGCGTTTCAGAGCAGGGCTGAGCTGGGCTGAGCTGGGCCTGTGGGCTGAGGAAGGCTTGGGCAGGGGCTGGGGTTGTCCAGCGACCCGGCCTGGCTCCCAGACTGGGGTTCTGCGAACTGCGGATTGGCCAGATACGAGATGGGTCAGCAGAGCAGTGTGACTGGCCAGCCTGGTGCCTCCCCTGTCCGTGTTTTGCCCACCTCAAAGAGAAGGGTGGCAGACGCTGGAGGGGCAGGGACCCAGTGTTTGAGCACTGGCTCCATTTCCCAAACATACCTGCCAGTGACCTCTGCTCCTTCCCTGCCCAGGGGTCCTGACCTTTCTCCTGCAGGGCAGGTGCTTCAGGCCCTGGCTGGGGCTTGTTGACACGATGGTTTCTGAGCCAGCATGCGCCCCCTGGCTCCCAGCTGCCCAGGCTCTGGCCCTCCAGTCAGAGACCCCTGGTTAGACCCGGCTGATCCTGCAGGCCTGGCTGGCTCAGCTTCAAGGCATCCAGACCTGGGCGATGTCTCTGGGGAGAGGCCAGGAGGAGCACCCGCTGCTGCACTATCTCACCCTGGGAGTCACCCTGGTCCCCAGCAAAGTTCTCCCTGCCCAGGGTTTACCAAAGCCACGCTCCTGGACAGGTGGCTTGGTGCCCTGGTCAGGAGGTCCCTCTGGATTAGCATTGTATCCAGAGAGTGAGATGCTCTGGCAGGTCAGGAGAATCCAAGAGTCACAATTCCACTGCCAGGGCCCGGGGTGTCTGAGGTCTCCAGGGAGGGGTCCCCCTGCCTGGCCACAGGTGCCCCTCTTGGACATTAAATTTGCCACCTTGTATCACACATCCTTAAAGTACAAGCTAAATTTTCCTAGAAAGAGGTTCCCAAGAACCACCTTCCCTCGTGGGCTGCAGTGGGAGTTCCAGCGTCAGGGTGAGGCCAGTGTTCTCAGCCTCTCTGGGCCACGGCCTCCCGCCCACCCCATGTATAATAGCAGTCGGGCTTTTCAGAAGGGAGCCAAGAGTCAGGACCTTGGGCTCTATCCCCATGCCCACCACTGACTTCCTCAGTCACCTCTGCCTCTTCATGTGGCCTCTGTTGGTCTCAGCTTTTTCCCCATTTGGCTTTTACTACTCACTAGTTGAGGCCTGACTGTAAACAGAAGTTGAGGCTCATGTGAGCTGGGAAGCCGCACACAGAGACTTCACAGGACTCCTCTGAGAACCCGAAACTCACCTCTGAGTTCTAAAAGTTTTCCTGCTAGAAAGAGTAGGTGTTTTGCCTGAGGGAAACAAGAGGACCATCTTCATATGTTTAAAAGTGTGGAAGACCAGCTTATGGAAGAACTATTCTTGGGGTGCCCGATGGGTAGACTTGGGGAGGAGCAGTGGAAGTTAAAGGAAGATGGGTTTTTGACTCACAGTAGAGCACTCTGACCCAGGAGGAAGGAGGCGGAGGAGATTCGAGTCTGAGGCCAGAGGTGGACACATGACTTCGAGGTTACTTTTGCCTTTAAACCAGGAGCCTGTGGGATCAGGCGGCGTTCCCGGGAAACGAAGCCATGACCGGTCCAGCTGAGCTCTGATTCAAAGCTGAGCGGGCAGCACTGGAGCCTGGCTCCCCGAAGGCCCTCCTGGCACCCCCTTTGCCCAGGTCTCGTCCTGCCAGGCTAGGCTGTTCACTTACGTGGGAGCCTGTGGATCCTACAGGTGCCTCTTGCTGAATCGAAACCATTTCCAAGCACCTTGTGGGCCCTGCTCACCTGCCTCGAGGAAGCCAAAACTGCCGTCCCCCACTTCACACAGGGAAACCCTGAGGCCCAGAGAGGTTCGAGTCTTGTCCAAGCTCCTCCACCGTGAGTGATAAGCAAGAACTGGGCTTCCTTCCTCTGACTCCACGGTCTTAATCAGCCCGGATAGGGTTGGCGAATGGGGATGGCGTGGGCTCGGGGCAGCAGGTGCCCCACCCACCCGGCGCCCTGCTAGGGTGTGGAAATTAAACTGCTTGTCCCTCCGTAGCCAGAAGCCACGTGTCCTCCTTCAGGGCACTCCCTTTCCCACGCGCTTCCTCACTGTTAGAGGCTCTTGGACGCTTTTGTAGACCTTTCCCCAGAGCCGCGTGCGCAGTCACGTGTACCTGTGTGCTTTCAGCCCGGCTGTGGCTCAGGGTTAGGAGCCTCGCCTGCCTCGTCCTGAGCCTTGGCCTTGGGTGTTGGGCTCTCACGTCCAAGGGCCACGGTGAAGGAACTTGGCTGACTCGGGAAGATGAGGGGGAACCCACTTCGTTCAGCGGAGACCTTGGGGGCCCCGTGCAGACTCTCGGGCTCTGAGTGAGGAGCCGTCATGCTCTGTGCCGTGGCTGATGGTCAGAGCCACTGACCTCTACCGGGCCCGAGGCAAACCATTCCTCCCACCTGGTGGAAGAAAGTGGTGGCAGAAGGAACAAGGCTGTCCCCCGGGTTCAAGGCTGAGAGGGCCCCAGCTCCTCCAGCCTGTGTCTGGGGTGGTGGGGGGCGGGGAGCAGGTGTGCTACACGTGAACGTGGAGGTGAGGAGGTGACCTTGAAGGGAGGTTGGTCTGGCCTTGTTTGAGGCCTGTGGCCAGTTTAGAACAATCTTAGAGACACTTTAGAGGGAGAAGTGAAAATTACTAGAATTTTGAAATGGGTCATGGGAAATGGAATTGCAGTCAACTCCTAGTTACTGAGTAAACGTTCACGAAAGCTGCACGGACGTGGTTCCTTCCCAGGGAGTGCTCAGTCTAGTGGGAGACTCGTAAGTCAGCAGACAAGGC